GTTTTTTTTTTTGTTTCATCCGATTTATTTAGATCTGATGGCCGCCGTGAACGATGTTTGCCAGACATCCAGAATGTAGCAGGGAAAAAAAAAAAAAAAAAAAAAAAGGACGGAGATGCTGGACAATGAGCTGTGCACCTCACATCGCACAAGCTTGAGTCATTTCCCTCGGCAGGGGCCACTACTCAACATTCTACGTGCATATGGACTGTCCTCCAACCAGACACATTTATACCAGTCCCACATTTTGAATATATCAAAGGACCATCAGGTCCAGAATCCAGATACATTTTGATTGTTCGGCAGTCGAGCGAGGCCCAAAAAAGTCGCCTCCTTTGCTAGAGGTTGGCAAGCTGCTGGACTCCCAGCAGAAGGAGCTTCCTTCTGCATGACCCATCCTTGACGGCTACCGTCTTCCACCGAATAGAATGAGCGGTCATTACCACTGTACCTAGACTGAAGGTTGCCCTAAATGCAGCTATAATGACCGTGTATCTAGACTGAAAGGTTCCATATGTATTGACTTACTTACCACGAGGGCACGGGTGTGCATCCCGTAGTTTGTTTGTTGATGTGGGTGGAGAAGGGTAAGGTAGTGATTATGCTGTGTTTATGTTTTTCATGTTCGCTATACACAAGTCCAAGAGTGTGGGGGGGGGGGGGTCCCAGCTTGCGCTTTATTCAGGACCCGGTTTCCAGCAGGTGCCGCTCCCCACCAATAGACAGGAGCATTCTGCCGTAAGTCCACTATAGGGGGATGCTCATATCACCTCCTCTAGTGGGCTGAAGCGGACGGTTTTTTGGGGAAAGAAAAAAAGAGTGTGTGTGTGCCTGTGTGCACATGTGTACGTGAGAGTAAGTGAGTGAGTGTGTGCGTGTGTGCGTGTGTGCGTGTGTGTGTGTGTGAGAGAGAGAGACAGAGATAGAGAGGGCCCTGCAGCATGCAGCATGTCAGTGGCGGGGAACACAAGGGCAGACGCTAACCTCAAAAAAAAAAGAAAAGGTAATGTTCTTTTCTTTTTTTTTTTAACATGAAAATACAGCTGTCTTCTCCTCATATGGAGGACAGTTGTATTCTTTTCCCTACCCTATTTTCTTCTCTCTTGCCTCCCACTAGCTGCCCGTATCTATACCTTACCCGCAAGCCCTACCAGGCTGACAATGGATCACATCTATTCAGGAGGAACCGTGAGGAGTCTAAGGCTAGGGTCTAGAGTCTAAGGCCTACCCTTAAACCGCCAGTACCCCCCGCGTTTTTAGGAGTTAATGCGGAGGCTGAATCTGTGCGCTGCACGGGTCCATATGCATTTGCGTCAGAGGGGCCTAAGAGCCCCTGGGGTACTAGCGGTTTAAATGTACTAACCGAACTAAGTTATCCTAAGGTTATGGGTCCAGACCTACCTAACTCTTCTCTCTGCGGGGAGCAGCACCCAAGCTCCTCCTAACACCTGGCGCGGGCTGGAAAGTCGAATGTAACTTCCACAACCACCCAGGAAGGACAAGCCGGCTGTTCCAGCTGGTGAACCCGAAGCATGCCACAGGAGATCGTGGGGAACAAAATGAAAGACATGGGGAATCGAACCCGCGACCTCCTGCATACCATTTACGTGCTCAACCGACTGAGCTAGGCTGCTTGGCCAAGAAGGTAAATTATGTTCTATTCGAATACAAGAGTTTTTTTTCCCTCAAAATTCGAACGGAAAAGGTGCACTTTTTATTTGAATGTACAACGCGTGCGCTGTCTATTCGAAATGCCCTTCTATGCAAGAAAGTGTCCCCATGCCGTTTCGATTTCGAAATATTTAACTCAAGGACCGCAGCCTCCTCGGCCTCCTACGGGCACCTACCGGTCCTTCGCCTACATCGACACCCTGCCCCCCCTAAAATGCCCTGCCTGCAATTTTAACACCCTTTCAGTGACCATTGGGCCCGTTCGAACGACCGGTACGACCAAACGACGAAAATTTGACTCAGGGGTCTAAAACGCATCTCTGACGGGGCTGCGAACAGCTATAATGACCATGTGTTCTATTCGGGGTAACATTGTAGTGTTCCACCAGCAACAGAGTGTGTAGTACTTTGTGTTTCTGTTTGTGTTTGCCTGTGTCCGTCGTCATGTTCGTTAATTACACAAGCCAACAAAAAGGAGCACGACAGTTCCAGACCGTTTCATTGAACTTTCGCCGAATCATCACCAGGTGCTTGTCTGTGTGTGTCATCATGTTCGCTAATTACACAAAGGCAACAAAAAAGAGCACGAAAGTTCCACGCCGTTTCATTGAACTTTCACCGACTTGTCACCAGGTGCTTGTCTGTGTGTGTCATCATGTTCGCTAACACGAAAGTTCGAGACCGTTTCATTGAGCTTCCGCCGACTCATCGCCAGGTGGAACCCCGACAGTCCGCCCACGATGCATTTGACCAAATCGATAAGAAGTGCATAACACACCACGTCGCCCAGAGTGAGCAAGACCAGCGCTAGAGAGAGCAAAAAGTGGTCGAGTTTTCTTTTCTTGTTTCTTTTCTTGTTTCTTTTCTTGTTTCTTTTCTTGTTTCTTTTCTTTTTCCGAGTCTCCGACGTGCAACAAAGTGAACTACTTTACTCACACCAACCCTGCAATCCTAGCAGACTATGGGTCCCAACCCCTGACAAGAATGGCGCAGTAAGTCTGAGAAACCTTCTGTCACAGCCATAAGACTCACACTATACACCCACTCACCCATGCTCTCTGTGTGTGTATGTCGCGTGTGTATATACATATAACTATGTACAACTAGCGTCTTCACCCGAAAAGAATGCCCAGTCATTATAGCTGTATTTGAGACAACTTTTAGTCTAGGTACAACGATAATGACCGGGCGTTCTATTCGGGTGAAGACGGTAGTGCTCCAGCACAAAGTGCTCCAAATCCCTATCCCCCAAGAACAAATGCCAATCAAAGAAAGAAAAAAAAGGGGAAATTTTCGACACGCCCCTGAAAATTGATTTATTTCCACTGTGCCCCTCCAACGGCCGACTTACTCTGTCATGCCCCTGGGGCTCTGAACTGTCCTGCAGGCCCCTGTCAGTGAGGGGTGCAACTTTCCAGCATGCCCCTGTGGCCGTTGGTGGCACTCGCAGTCGTTCCCCTGGCCCTGGGACGGGAGCTAGCGGGTCATACTGGAAATTTGCAACCGGTACTGGTAGGGGCATATTGAACATATTTCAGGCCCACACGACGCCAGGGGTTTTTCGGAAATTTCCATCGTTGTCAGAGGGGCGCGACAGCTCTCAACTTTCAACAGAAGAACAGAGGAAAGAAGAACGCAAAAAACGATCAGGAAAAAAAAAAAAAAAAACCATCAGGGATAGCGACGAACTAATACCGTTCTCGACCTTTTGGCTTAAAATAGATCGAGTGTAGTATCTGTTCATAGTGACAGACTGTTTCATCAGACTCACTGATTCGTCAGGACACTGAACCCTCGACAGTCTGCCAACTCCCGATATGGATGGTTTGTGTCATAGGGCCTCGCTCCAGTACACGGCATTCTACATGTATTGGGCATCTGATATGGACCAGATACATTTGGACCGACCAAACACCTTGCACGTATTTGGACCATTCCTAGATCCAGATACATTTGAAATGCTGAGAAGTGGAGTGAGGCTCTGTGTCTACTTCCACCCCTGTTACTCAGTATTCTACATGTATTGGGCATCTGATACGGACCAGATACATTCGGACCGATCGGGCACTTTGCTTTTTGCCTATTTCCACCCCTGTTGAAAGTGGACAGGCAGGGAGGTAACAAAACAAGCAGCAGTAAGAGAAAGCAGGCAGCAGTTTAGGGTATAGGTTTAGGGTTTTAGGGTTTTAGGGTTTAGGGTTTTAGAGTATAGGTTTAGAGTTTTAGGGTTTTAGGGTATAGGGTATAGGTTTAGAGTTTTAGGGTTTTAGGGTCTAGGGTTTTAGGGTTTTAGGGTATAGGTTTAGAGTTTTAGGGTTTAGGGTGTAGATTTAGAGTTTTAGGGTTTAAGGTTTTATGGTTAGGGTTAGAGTTAGGGTTAGGGTTTAGGGTTTAGGGTTAGGGTTTAGGGTTTAGGGGTTTAGGGTTAGGGTTTAGGGTTTAGGGTTTAGGGTTAGGGTTTAGGGTTTTAGGGTTCAGGCTTAGGGTTTGGGGACACACAATCTAGCAAACACCCAGGGGGGCATAGAGGCGAGCAGCAAGGCGACCAAGCAACAGTACCCATAGCAAGGCAGGGGCCCGGGGAAGGCAAGCGGGCAGGCAAACAGTAAGAACAGGCAACAGGGCAGCAGGGCAGCAGGGCAGCAGGGCAGCAAGGCAAGGCAAGGCAAGCGGACAGCGACCTGAGGGCAGGCCCCCAGGTTAGCCGCCGAATCATCAGGGTGTACGGGTGGTTTAAACTTTGAACCCATAGTAGTTCCCAGATATGGGCCGGTTAACGGGCTGGGATGTAGGGGACTGCCTTCCATCCATGATGACCCTAATGCCAGACATTGGCATAGATCGGAAAAGTATTGATGGGGTTGACTAGGGGGTTGGAAGGGGTGGCCCCCAGTCTCATAGGCGGTACACCCACTCGCTCAATCAGACGAGACTTGGACAGAGGCCTTAAAAAATACAGACATGGCAGTTTCAATACAAATCATCATCATCATTATAATAATAAAAGACGTAGCAGTTTCGGCAAAACAGCAGGAGAGGGGAAGAGCTTTAGGTGAAGGAGGAAGAAGGAAGGAGTGCAGGTTGGCGAGACGCCAACAGTTCTTTTTTTCTCTTGTTTTCTTTTTTTACTTACAAAGAGCAACAGGGGCAGGAAAATAACATTGTGGGACCGGCATTTGCCGAAGCACACTAGTGTCAAATGGAAATGAATCTCTCAGGTAGGCAGGTAAGGAAAGGACCAGGGGGGGGGAAGGAGGGGCAGGTAAGGAAAGGAGGGGGAGAGGGGGGGGGGGCAAAGGAGGATGCCAGTGCTATGAGGGATGTCACACCTCAAGAGTATCTTCATGTCGAGCGTGTCGCACTGCAAGAAGCTGATGCATCTTGATGATGGAGTTCCGCGGGCGCGCCAACTGCCATAATGCAAGGTTCCGCGCGTCCACATCCATTTATCCATTTATCAGATTTTTAAACATTTTTTTGTCCATATCCATTTATTAACATCCATACCGATCCGTTGATTGCGAACGCATGCAGTTCATCAATGGTGGTGATCACAGCCACACATGACAACACATCATGACAAAGTCCAAGAGATGTATTTAATATTTATCCATATCCATTTTAGTATGATTTTACCCATTTATCCATTTTATCCATTTATTCATTCCCTATTCGTTGATAGCCATCGATGGACTAAATGAGTGTGATGGCAGCAAGAGATGAAAGAGCATGATGACACAGTGAAGGAGATGGATTTATGCATGTCTCTTTATACGGGAAGAAAGGATGACGGCTTTCTATAAAGAACGGAGAGAGATGGTCGTTGGGGGGTAGAGGGGAGAAGGGAGAGAGGGGGAGGGGGGGAGGGGGGGAGGGGAGGGAAGCTACAGAGGGTTTGTTTGTCCTCCGGCGCAAAACAAGCCATCGTACGTCAACCATTTACTTTTTTGGTTTTTTCATTTTTAGGCAAAAAAAAACTAAAACAACACTGCTTACAACAGTCTCATGCCCAGGGCTCCTTTCCTGTGGGGGGAGCGTCAGTCCAATTCCTTCTCAACGCTCTCATGGATGGTCCTGATCCTGGTCCAGAACCTGATCCTGGTTCTGAAACTGGGAATCAATTCTGTTCCCGGGGAAGATGTCGTCAATACCCTAGAAAGCGCCCGATCTGCTCCTCATTCAGAACCTGAGCCTTCCCGCGGGAAGGAGGGGGAAGGAGGGGGAAGGAGGGGGAAGGAGGAGGAAGGAGGAGGAAGGAGCGGAGAAGGATGAGGAAGGAAGGGGAAGGAGGGGGAAGGGGCGAAGGAGGAGGAAGGAGGGGGGAGGAAGAAGAAGAAGGCGGAAGAAGGAGGAGGAAGTAGGGGGAGGGAGGGGAAAGGAGGAGAAAGGTGGAGGAAGAAAGGGGGAAGGAGATGGAAGGAGGGGGGAAGTAGGGGGAAGTACGGGGGAAGTATGGGGGAAGTACGGGGGAAGTACGGGGGAAGTAGGCGGGAGTAGGGGGACGAGGACACCCTTTGTGAATCGCATGGTGATCAAGAAAGAATGTGAGCCTTGGTTTTAGAATCTGGGTCTGGTTGAAGGCAGCCTCATCCTTCTTTTACTTTCTTCTTTACCTCTGTCCACGATGTAGGGGAGCCTGCTGCAACAGCCCCCGCCCGCCCCCCCCCAAAAAAATAAATAAATAAATAAATAAATAAATAAATAAATAAATCCTGCTGCACTACGGAAACCCCCTGGTGAAATAGGTCTGCCTGGGGGCGAGGTTTCCACTACCGAACAGGATTGGGTTGTGTGCCATGAATCTGGACGTGTCTGTAGAGAGGTGCAGATAATGGCAATTGATCTGCTTTTCTGCATCGGTGCATAAAACAGGTCCAGATTCAGGCGCTAAATTCAATTCCCCTCACAGGGCCTCGTCAACCTATTAGTGGGGACCACCACTTGCCTGACCCTGCTCCATTCATCCAGGTTCAGAAGCTGATCGCTGTTTTTTCCTTTTTTGGGGGGGGAAGTGGCGGGGGGNGGGGAAGACACCTTTTTTGGAGGGAAGGCAACCACCACGGAGATAAAAATGGAAAAAAAGGGCAGGGAAAAGAAAAAAGAAAAAAAAGGTCATCATAGATCTCACCAAGGGGCAGTATGGAGACTTTGAAGTGTTAACGGTACCTACCGCGACAGGGGGACAAGTGGGTGATGGCATGAAACCATGCGGCCAGAGAGACTGCCACGACCCCCCCTCCTCCCCCCCACCTGACCCCCCTGGGATCCTTCTGCTGTGTGGTTGGGTGCTGCCAGTGAGCTTCCCGGCCAGCAGAAGCACCCCAAGAAGGCTATGGTTTGGGGGAGAAGCCATTCGTGACAGTCCCTACCTTGGGCAGGTGGTGTCTAGTACAGCAAGGGCGTGGCCGACTCCTTGTCCTACTCCTTCTCGACTGTACTCTCATGCTTGCCGGTGATAAGCGACCGGACTGCTGCCCTCCAGAATAAAAGCGGCTTCTGTTGTTTGAAAAAAAACAAACAAAAAAATTCAACACTAATATATATATATATATATATCGTCACAAACATACGTATATATATTGTCACAAGAGTATCAGAGCGCAAATGCGAACAAAAGGAACAAAAAGGAAAAAAGAAAGAAAAACAAGCAAAAATGAATTCAGTTTTTTATCTTCTTCCTTATAACTCCCCCTGTTCAGAACCTCTTGCGTACAAGGCCGCCCACGTGGATGTACGTTGACCGGCGGCTGCCCCCACCCCCGTGTGTCATATCGACCCACTTGTATATATTTTTTTACATGGCAAAAAAAGAAAAAACGATGCAACTGCCCACCTTCTTTTTTTCTTTTTTTTTCTTTTTTTTCGTTTCTAAACCTACGTACCTTTCTCACTCCTTCCTCGTAGAACCTCTTCAACCGCAATTCTTCGATAACTTTCTTGCGCGGCATTTGCCCGCCCTTCGGTATGGCCCCCATAGGCTCGGCTCCTGGACCGATCTGCATCGTTGAACCCTTGATGATGACGACGATGATGATGATGATTGATGATGATTGATGATGATGATGATTGATGGATGCTGCTGCACGGCAATGCACGAGTTCGAACCCTGATAGAAAAAAACAACACCACAGTAGTAACGAAGACAAACCATTGACTGAGTTCGAACTCTGCTCTGCTGGGTTATCCCCCCCCCCCTTCTGCTCTGTTTTTTTTTTCTTGTTGATGTTTTCATTTGTGGGCAATCCTACTTGGCATGGGTTTTGCTACTCAAGCGATAATCATCGTTGAACCCTTGATGTGAAGGACTATCCCCTTTTTTTTTTTTTTTTTTTATAGCTATAAATAGTAACGACTATCCCCTTTTGGTTTTACCATCGGTCGCGAGTTTTTTTTCCTTTTTTTTTTTCTTTTTTTGGTCGTTGAACCCTTGATGCGAAGGACTATCCCCTTTGGTTTCACCATCGGTCCCAAGAGTACGGGCCCGACTAGCGGGCCCAAAGGGGTTACGGACAGGCAATGCGCTGTCATGAAACATGAGGTGGAGGTGCCTGAGAGGCAATTGGCACCTATCAAATGGTTCCAAGAGGTTAAGTTTCCCCCCCCCCAAGATCTCATCACTGCTCCTCTGGCAGATTGCCCACCGCTGCTGCCTACACCGACCAATAATAACTGTATTTCATTTTCTTCTTCGTTTTCTATCTACTTCGATGAAGTAGATAGAGGCTTATCGACCACACAAGCCTGGAACAGCAGGGGTGAGCAACCCTGTGGTGCAAGAGATGCCTACAGCAAGAGATGCCGACAAGGCTACCCCTCTCGCAACAGAGCTGAAACCATCGAGCACATCTTCCTGCCAATGTCGAGTTTCAGTGTTGATGATGTGGCCCTGGTGAGATAGGATATGGAGACAAATGTTCTCAGGGATCGCATGGTCATGGCACTGGCCGGGACTCCTTCCAGACAGGGTACGGGGGAGTCCTTCCAGACGGGACGAATAAGTTGCGTCTTGGAAGACACACTATTCTCTGGGTGCTATGGTGGCAAAGGTTTGTTCTAGAAACGGAGGGCGCGAGAGTAGAGGAAGCCTCTCTCTAATGGACGGCGGGTTCAAACCGTAGTAATACTTATAACCCTCTCTAATGGACGACGGGTTCAAACCGTAGTAATACTTATAACCACCACGGTACTGAACACTAAACGACGATCGATCATGAGTTCGAACTCTGCTGGGTTATCGCCCTTCTCTGCTTCCTTTGTCTGTTATCATTAGCGGGCAATTTCCCCCTAAGGACTCTTCTCATATACCCATCGTCATTGTTGAACGCTTGATGACGATGATGATGATGATGATGATGGTCTCAGATGATGACCGTCATCTGAGACCCTCGGGCACTCCTGGGTAAATCGCCCTTACTTTTTTCTTTTTTTTTCCCTAAAATTTGTGGGCAGGGCAATCCCCCCCATGGGCTTGGGTCATCTAACGACCGTCATCGTTGAACGCTTGATGATGATGACAATGATGATGATGACAATGATGATGATGATGATGATTATGATGATGATAATGCTTGCTGCCGAGTTCAAACCTCTTCAATGCAAGTGTTCGAACCCTAGTAATTCGAAAGTACACCACGATGCTAACGACGACAAATCATGAGTTCGAACTCTGCTGGCTTATCGCCCTTCGTCCTCCTCTTTTTTTCATTTGCGGGCAGTTCCCCCCGCGGGCTCGGGTCGTGTAATGATCTTCATCGTTGTTGAACTCTTGATGATGATGAGCTAATGATGAGCTGATGATGATGATGATGATGATGATGATGATGATGATGGTTAATGCTTGCTGCCGAGTTCAACACGGGTTCAAACTCTAATAAGAGACAACACCACGATATTAACGACGACAGATCATGAGTTCGAATTCTGCTGGGCTCGGCTCCTATACCTATTGTGATCGATGAACGCTTGATGATCGCGATGATGATGACGAGGGTGGTGATGATGATGAGGATGAGGATGATGATGATGAGGAGGAGGAGGAGGAGGAGGAGGACGACGGTTGATGCTTACTGCCAAGTTCAAACCTCTTCAATGCAAGTGTTCGATCCCTGACTGATGAGAAAAAAATGCGAGGCTATCAACGACTACAGAGGTCACACGAGTTCGAACTCTGCTGGGTTATCGCCCTTTCTCTTTCTTTTTTATTGCGGGCAATCCAATCACCCAACCGAGCGTCAGCTCCTGGACTGATCATCATCCTTGACCCCTTGATGATGATGATGATGATGATGATGTTTGATGATGTATCCGTCAATTAAAAAAAACAAATATGAATTAGTGCTAATCTATAGTAAGAACTATTCGTATATCGTAAATTATAATATGAATAAGTAAAATGAAAATATGAATTAGTTATAATAGAATGCAAGTATCGCTCCTCGGTTATCGCCCTTCTCTTTCCCGTTTTTGTTGCCGTCAATTGTTGGAAACACCAGACCGGCCAAGAACCGATATCACGGCCGTCCGTTGATCATCAACGACTACAGATCATGAGTTAGACGTCTGCTGGGTTATGGCCCTTCTTCTTCCTCTTCTTCCTCTTCTTCTTCTTCTTCTTCTTCTTCTAAATCTTTTCTGCACTACAGATCATGAGTTCGAACTCTGCTGGGTTATCGCCTTTCTTCTTCCTCGTCTTCTTCTTCGTCTTCTTCTTCTAAATCTTTTCTCCACTACATATCATGAGTTCGAACTCTGCTGGGTTATCGCCCTTACATCCTCTTCTTCTTCTAAATCTGTTCTGCACCAAGAGCAGATATCACGGCCGTCCGTTAATCATCAGCGACTAGGCAGGCAGGCAGGCACCCACCGGGACCTTATGGAGACCCGAGATCCCGATGCACGCCTCCTGGAAACGACACGAAACGAAGCACGAATGCAAAATCTTCTTAGGCGATGGCTGCTAATTACCAATCCAGTACTTTCCTCTTTTATTATTTTTTTATTTTTTTAATTTTTTTAATTTTTTTTAATTTTTTTTAATTTTTTTCCTTTTCCGAAAGTTGCTCACAGAACCCACCCCCCATTCGTGCTAATCAAATACTTAATTATTAATTAATGCAGTAATTAGTAATTACGCCAGCGCATCAATCAAGATCGAGAACCCGATCTGCCGCAGGCTTCATCATCCGCCAGGATCTATAGCCGCCGTGCTACCGTCTTCCCCCGAACAGTACGCACGGTCGTTACAGCCGATTTTTTCGGGGGATCTTTTTCTGTTTCCCCCCCCCCTAGAAAAAAGCCCAGGTTGTTATAGGGGTGGGGTACTAGACAGATGGCAGTCACCCACAGTAATCCGCCATTCGGTCAACCAGATGAACCCCTCTAAAGACCCCACCCAACCTTGCTCTCATCTTTGCCCTGGCGCACTCCCACCCCCTCTGTCCTACCCTACCCCCGAACAGTACGCGCGGTCGTTACAGCCTAATTTCGGCGGGATACAGCGATGGTGACCATGCGTTGTATTCGGGGGAAGGGCGACTGCAGCGTAATTACCGTGCGTTCTATTCCGGGGCGCGACGTAGGGATCCTTGTCCAGCCAGCAGAGCTGCCAATGCCGCGAGCTGAACTATCCCTGCGAACAGATCGTGAGTTCGAACCCACGTTTACTATCGCGGTATAAAGGGCGTCTCCACACCACTCTCAAAATGTGGGAAAATTGAGAATGAACTTCCCGCTAGAACATGGTCAGATGCGCCCGCCAAATTTTTGTCTTTTTCACATTTCCAGAGTGGTGTGGCGAGGCCCATAGTGATGCTCGTCCAGTCAGCAGCACTATCAACGACCGCCGCTAAGCTATCCCCGATGACAGATCATCATGAGTTATAATCAAGGTGTGACAAACGCACAGCCAACATAATTTAAAAAAAAAAAAAA